CCAATTGAAATTCCAACACTATACTTCACAGAACTAGAAAGAAGAATCCAAAAGTTCATTTGGAACCATAAGAGACCTAGAACAGCAAAAGCCATCCTAGGCAACAGACACATGGCAGTGGGCATAACAATTCCCGATCTGAAACTATACTACAAAGCCACTGTGATACAAACAGCATGGTACTGGCAAAGAAACAGACCAGAGGATCAATGGAACAGACTGGAAGACACAAAAACAACTACAGATGTACTCAGCTACCTCATCTTTGACAAAGGAGCTGACCATCCCCACTGGAGGAAAGATAGCCTCTTTAATAAATGATGTTGGCAAAACTGGATCTCAACCTGCCATAGATTAAAATTGGACCCTTATCTTTCACCATGCACTCAATTAAAATCCAAATGGATTAAAGATCTAAATATTAAAACAGAAATAAACTTGCTGGAAGATAAGTTAGGCAGAACTCTGGAAGATATTGGCATAGGAAAAGACTTTATGAACAAATCCTCAGTCACACAGGAATTAGCAGAAAGAATCAACAAGTTGGGATCTCATCATATTAAAAAGCTTCTGCACTACAAAAGAAACCATCAACAGAACTAAGAGACAACCTACAATGTGGGAAAAAATTTTTACCAGCTGCTCCTCAGAAACAGGACTATTATCTATAATATATAAAGAACTCAAAACAATCAGCCCCCCTAAATATAAAGACCCAATTCAAAAATGGGCATCTGAAATGAACAGACATTTCTCAAAGAAGTAAAAGCAGCAAGTAAATATATGAAAAAATGTTCCACATCACTGGTCATTCGAGAGATGCAGATGAAAACAACACTGAGATTCCACCTCACCCCACAAAGAATGGCTGCTATCAAGAAATCAACCAATAACAAATGTTGGCAGGGTTGTAGGAGAAAGGAACACTTTTCCCTTGTTGGTGGGAGTGCAGACTGGTACAACCACTATGGAAATCAATATGGAGATACCTCAAAGAGCTGGGACTAAGAGGTTCCATTTGACCCAGCAATCCCTCTGCTGGGTATCTTTCCAAAAGAATTAGAAGAATCATACCACAGTGACATATGCACACCTATGTTTATAGCAGCACAGTTTGTAATAGCTAAAACTTGGAAACTGGATAAAGATGTGGTTTTTCTATAAAATGGAATACTACTCAGCCATAAAGAATGAGAAAGTAGATTCATTCATGGGAAAATGGATACATTTTGAGGATATACGCCTAAGTGAAATAAATAAGTCACACATGTGTAAATACCGAATAGTTTCTCTGGTGTGAAAAACTAAAATAGTACTCAAGATCCTAATGGGATAATTAGCAATGTGAAATAGGAAGAAAAGGGCTAAAGGTGTAGGGACAGTGGGAAGGGTAGGGGAATGGGAATAAGGGAAGGGAAAAATGTGAGAAAATTAAAAATGGAATTAAAGTGTTGGTAGGTAGGGAGGGGAGGAGTTGGTGAAGGAAGGATGGGGACAAGGGGAAAAAATGAGAACCAAGAACTGTCATGTAAAGGTACAAGATCGAGTGATGAATGGAACTGTACTGTATACCTAGAATGCACCAAGAAATTAAATAAAAATTTTAAAAAAGGATAATTCGTGGTATCCAGTGAGAAAATAATTGCAATGACAGGTCATTCAAGGAAGTGGAAAACAACAGAAGTACATAGAAACAGTGAGTTGGAAGATTGAATATTTAGCACCAGGAGGTAATGAGACAATAGAAACACACTCCTCTAGGTAAATATGTTGTGGTTAGTGAAGGGAATTTCCCGAGATTTAGATAATAAAAATGAAACCGTTTGAAAATTAATAGTGGGAAAGTTGATGGTTTGTTCTCTTTTATTGCGATAAGCTGTGTCACTTTTTAATTAACCCTTTCTTGGGAAATGATCTCTTCTAAGCTTGTTACGTGGGTTCACATCAAGTAGTGGTGTATAAATCAGGTTTTGTTTTCAAAGGTTTTTATTGGAATGTAGCTGTACAGTATATAGTAATCTGAGCAAGCAGGTAAACCAGCATAATCTCTTATACAGTTAATTAAATGCTTTCAGAGACAAGGTCAACCCCAGCTTGAAAGCTAAATTTCCAGTTGTCTCCCCCTCGTTTGATGTAGCATATTGACTTCCTGAATCATTTCATTGACCTTTTAAGTGACTGTCCTACAGATGCTTTTCTATTTGAGTTCATTTTATTCAAAGTAGAACAGTTTTACAAATACACAAAACATTTAGTTCATGTCATATGCTAATCTTAAGCAGCTGTGAGACAGCCACTATCAAGTGTGGAAATGACAATAATGTTCTTTTTTTGCACACTTGTGACTCTGAGCCAGTGCATGATTTTTCTGTCATCTTACAAGTTTTCCTCTGTACCATATTTTTAACTTTAAAATTTCCATTCTCAAGTGAATTATTAATTACAGATAAGTATGATTTAGCAGGAAAAACTTAGTGGAAGTACATTTTCTCTTATATTTGTCAATAGATAGAGTATCCGTTTCATAATTGATTAGTTTCATCCATTTCAAAACAGTACAGTGATCTCAAATCTAACCCTTCTCCATCCCCTCAGAATCTCTAGGATACTTTACCATTGTAATATTTGCTTATGCTTACTGAGATATAATATATATAACATGAGGGGCTCAAGATGTTAATGTCATAAGGAAAGAAAATAAAGAACATTCCATAAACCCAGGAAAAGGTTGATGGGGAATGCATAATCTGTTTTACCTAAACTTTTAGCTACTAGGCATTAGAATAGAGGATTATTTCATTACCTTTAAAGGTTTCAGAGGAACAAGGTTTTCTGATAAATGTAGGAAACAAGATGAGTAAGAAGGAAGTCTTATTAGGAATTGTTTTTAAATGAATCAAAGCAAGAAGAGGAGTAATGAGCATCACTGTAGGGCTTCTTTATATACTATATACTATGAACACTTTATATAGTATAAACACTTTGTGTTGATTTTCTCTAATCCTCAGAATAGTGCTTGGATTATAACATCCCGGTGTGCATATTAGAGAGGTAAGTCCCACAGGAGTCAAGAAACTTGTAAAACATTGTATAGTTAGGAAATAAAAGAACTGGATTCAAATCCAGAAATCTCCCAAATCTGTGCCTTTTACCCTATCAGACTATCAAGAACCGACAGTGACACCAAGGATTAATGCCTCAGAAATTTGTATTTCTGTTAAATGAAGAAAATGGTTAACATCTGAAACATTTGCCAAACTATAGTTATTGAAAATATAAGATTGTGTGGTGTACCATTGTACTTCATCTTCTTATTTCATGTCCTGAAATTCCTTCATCTGCTGTGAAAAACACAACTAGAGTGGGTAGGCATTGCAGACAGATATTTATGGGCATGGGTATATATGTTCCAGAAGCAATGCTTGAATTTGATGTGCTGTGGTCTTTTTAGAAGAAATCTTTTCTTGATCAAGTAATTGGCTTACAATATTGGAAAGATCATTAGAACCACATATAAGAGAGTTTTTGTGTTCATGTATGAAGCTTGTTTTGTTTGGTACTAGGTGCTGAGCACAGGAGTGCACTACCACTGAGCTACACATTTTTGTTTTTTGTTACTGGGGATTGAACTCAGGACCTGTTGCTTGCCAGGCAGGTGCTGTGCCACTGAGCTAAATCTGTGGCACTGGACATTTTTAATTTTTGAGAGAAGAGTCTCACCATGCTGCTCAAGCAGGCCTCAAATGTGGAACCCTTCTGCCTCAGTCTCCTGAGTACTTGGGATTACATGTGTATGCCAGTGACCAGTGAGATTTCTTGTTTGAGACCTGTGCCAGAAATGATTGGCTATATGCCTGAACTCTTTGTCAGCTTTATTGGTATATATGTTTATAATGATGTAAATTATTACATGCAAATTGAGCAAAATTGTTTTTTAAATTGAAAAAAAAAGGTCTTCTTAGACCTAAGAGCTTCATTTAAATTCGATTTTTTAATTTTGTTGACAAGGACAATATAATCTGGTGTTGCAGGGTTTTTGTTTTTCGTTCTTGGGTTTTTGTTTTTTTTTTCTGTGTAGTTAATTTCAGGAAGTTTGAGGCATTTCCTCTATTTAAAAAAAAATCAGAGTCCTCTTACATGGGTTGGAGTGATTGGTTGTTTCTTCCCTTCGCAATACAGTCAACTGTAATTAGCACACGGTGTAGCCTATTTAAAAGCAATTCTTTTTTTTTTGGTACCAGGGATTGAATTCAGGACCTTGCACTTGTTTTTTTTTTTTTTTTTTCCAGCTTTAATTGAGTTTATTGGTACATTTTAGGGATACAGTACAGTTACATTCATTGTTGGGATCATGTACCTCTCTACATGGCAAGTCTTGATTCTCATTTTTTCCCCTTACCTCTGCCCTCCCTTCACCCCCTCCTCCCCTCCCCATCTACAAACACTTTATTTTCATCTTTTCATTCTCTCACATTTTTTTCTTTTCCCTTTTTACTCTTCCCCTACCCATCCCACCTTCCCTACACCTTTAGCTCCTTTCTTCCCATTTCTAAATGTCAGTAATCTTATTAGAATCTTATGCATTGTTGCACATTATTCACACCAGGGAGGACCTTGCACTTGTAAGGCAGGCGGCGGCACGCCTGAGCTAAATCCCCAGCCCTTGAAAGCAGTTCTTAATAAGTCTTGCTTCTGTGGATAACTAGGCTTATACTTCTTTATTTGGTTGTTAGCAAAATATTAACTAAAATTTGACTTTTCTTTATCTTGATCCAAAGAACATACTTAGGAAAGAATCCTGTACTTTTAATTCAACCTCTTTGTGACCTCTTATGAGGAAAATAGAAAGCTTTGTTACATGCTGAATCATAGGGGCCTTATGTAAGCCAAATTTTTGCAAAGAACAATCAGTAGAAGTGTGTGACATTGTACTTAAAGGAGTTTATAACTGTTCCTGGCAGGTAGAATTTATATGTTAACCAGAGATTGCTTGCTTGCAGGGAGAATGCTGGGGAACCAGACTCCTGGAGTAGTTTATCCTATGAAATGTCTTATGGAGACTGTTCTGTGAGGCATCATCGGGAGCTGGACATCTATACTTTGACCTCTGAGTCAGAATCCAACTGTGAACCCCCATCTCCTGGAGACGGTTGCTCTGGACATATTTTAAAACTTAAGAACATTCAACAGCAATTAATGGTAAGGAAAATGTTTTTCATTTTCAGGTGTGCATGCGTGTGTGTGTGACCTTAGCTAATGAACTAGGTACACTTAGAATATAAAAGTGTTTCTACCAAAGATCATGAATCCTGTAAAGCAGTATTAGTAGTATTAGATATCAGCATGTAAGATTAAAAACTAGCATAAGGCTTGTAGGAGAGTAGTTGGCAGCTGAGATTTTTAAATTGATTTTTGCCGTATTTCTGAAGTAATAAAAAATACACCTGTTGCAAACATAAAAATATGCAACAACTAGAACTGAATTTCCTGGGCATAAAATATGTCTGTTTCATTTAACTCTATACAGATAAGAAAACCAGTTTATGAGATTGTTGCTAAAGAACAAGAACCAAATTTACTCATCAGTCCATCCTTTCACAGCTATTTTAGTGAGTGATGTTACTGTATTTAAATTGATAGTTAAATGCTTTAAAAGATCACCAAAAGTAAAGATTTTATAATCCATTCAAGCCTGCAAGATAAAGGTGTTTTAAGACATAAAAGCATTACTTGGTAATATTAATTATGGGTAATGTAGACATAACATGGGTGCATCTGTCTTGACCATATCAGCTGAAGGACTAAGTTGAGATTATTTTTCCAGCCAGTTTATTTCACAGCTGACTGGATTTGGAAACAGCTTGATAATGATTTCATTTAAGGTTGCCTAGGGGTTAGCTCAATGCCAGCATCTTCTTTTGGAGCAGGCATTATTTCTGAAGTCAGCACGTCAAGATATTCCATAGTAGGATTGTCAGTGTGCTTGCCTTTGCCTTTATTTTATTTATTTATTTAAAAAATTTTCCCCCTGGTACTGGGGATGGAACTCAGGACCTTGCTCTTGCAAAGCAGGCACAGCACCACTGAGCTAAATCCCTGACATTGCCTTTGCCTTTAAAAATCATGTTTTTCCTAAAGCAGTCGTTTTCCTTTGAATGGACTGCTCAGGAAATCAGTTTTTTCTCTTAGAACTCTGTTTTACTAAGTGAATGGTAGTCCACTTGAAAATACCAAATTGAAGATCTGAAAGCTACCCATAAAGTTTGGTTGCTAAGGAAACATGAGAAATTTAAGTTGTAGGAGTATGTAGGATTTTCCTAAATTCTTCATATTTGCTTCTCAGGTCTCATTTTTCTGTGGTGTTCACCGTTCATTAAATGTAATGGCCTGCTTTCTTTTTTCTTTTTCTTTTTTTGGGGTGGTGGTGGTGGTACTGGGGATTAAAGTGAGGGTCATCTCACTGATCTGCTGCCACCACCACTGCCCCCCTTCCCCTTGAGATAGGGTCTTGCAGAGATTCCCAGGCTGGGCTCATACTTGTGATATTCCTCCCAGAGTGCTGAGATTACAGGCATATGCCACCATACCTGGCATGCTTTCACGATTTTTAAGAGACTGTCTTTTGACAGGAATGGAAACAAGTTTATTTTGAATAATTTGAGGAAGATAGCATGTGAGACATGAGCCTTTAGTGAAACTACATTTTTGTTGTACGTACTCTTTAATAGAAGGACTTTAGTAACTGTAACACATTATATTGTTTTATATGGAAACTTTTACAGTAAACTCAGTAGATATATTTACTGAGTAAATAAATGAGCGAACAAATTGATAGTAGTAAAAATGATTGCAGTAGATCAAACAATGACTAGAGAACAAACTATACATAATTTTTATGTGTTAAGAAAGTAGTATTACATTTTACATAAAGATAAACTCATGAAAAATCCACCTGTTTGTTTTTCTCCATTTTTTTCCTAGGCTATGTCTACACACACACAGGGGACTTCTGTATGATGTATTATATTTATTTTTTCAATATTGTGTTATGAATTTTTTTTTCTGTTTGTGCTTTTGTCTTCATAGTTACTATCTATATAACAGCATAGAATTCCTCCCATCATGTTGGTGATCTGATATCTTAGCCATTTCCTTGTTGTTTATGTGAGAAAATATTTAAAAGTTTCAAAAAGTACTTTGAGATGATTTATAACATCCTCAAGCCATAGTACCCTCTAACAGTAATTGAGTTAGGTAATATTAATACTGTTTGCTCTCATTTATTGAATATTCAGTATTAGACAACAGGAGGAACTGCTTTGATCAAAAGCAGTTACATCTACCATGCCACTGTTCTTGAAATTATGAACCTAAAACTGAAATATTTAAATTGAACTGAAATGACCATATTTTGGGGGATTAAAGGACACTATGTACAAATGTACAACTTAAGTACAGTGGTACTTCAGTTCACAAACTTAATTTCTTCCATGATTGGAAGATGTGGAATTTGCGAATGGAGCCAAGTTTTGCCAAACACTTCAGTTCAAGAACTGGAGTGTTTGGGCACTGAGGTATTTCTGTATTTAAGGTACAGGAGCACTCGCTGCATTTTATAGTTGAAGAGTGTATGAAAGCAATTGCAATTTGTTTTTACTTGAGGCAGAATGGAAGTTGGCTGTGCTGTTTTAAAGACTCATTAAAAATATCTTTAGCTTAGGGCTGGGGATTTAGCTCAGCGCTTTGGTGGCCTGCCTTGCAAGCGCAAGGACCCGAGTTCAATACCCGGTACCCCCCCAAATAATAATAATAATAATAATAACAACAACAACAACAACAATAAATCTTTAGCTTGCTCATTTGAAGATGTTTAGAATGCCTATTTTTAAATTAAGATTTTTGAGATTCAGTTTTAATCCTTGGTAAAATAGTTCAAAATGTAGAAAATAGTTACTGTGTGTACATGTCTGTGTTTATTGTTTTTATTATTTATTTGTTTGTTTATTTATTTTTTAGACAGGCTCTCTCTATGTAGTTCATTCAGGCTGGCCTCATGGCGATCCTCCTCTTTCAGCCTTCCATGTGCTGGGATTACAGGCATGTACCACCACACCTGGCAGCTATGAATATTCTTAGTCATTTTTAACATTCCAGTGGCTGTGTAAATATGGGAAAGGAAAGTGATATCAGAAATGAGAAAAGTATTAATTTGTATTTGCTTACATTAGATTATCGTGTGACCCTGCAAGAATGAGAATGAGTGAGTTTTGTTCAGTAGATTTCTGCGTCTAGGTGTCAGTAACATCTTTTCTCACAGGCAATTTTTATGTGTATTTTGATCTCCTACTAGAAAACAAACCTCAGGCAAATGGACAGTCTTATGCCCACCATGGTGACAGCACAGGATCCTTCCAGTCTGCCCAGTGCCCCAGAGACTGATGGCCAGATCCCTTCCTGTGCACCAGCGCTCTCAGACAACCAGCAGCTTTCTTCTACTCTTGAAGAGACTGAGACTGGCCTGTGCTGCCAAGGGAGCCCTGTTGGACAGATTGTAAGTTCCTGTGACTTATCACAGGTGATTGAGAAAGAGAATACAAACTGTTCTTATAGGAAGAAAAATAAACGTGTGCAGAGAAAGAGGGAGGAGGAGCCCGCACCTATTGTGGACTCAGGAGCTGTGTGTAATCAAGACACCTGCCTTCATAGCATGCCTGACTCTGCAGTAAAAGGCATAGAAGGCCTTTTATCCTGTGGAAACAGAAATGAAGAAACTGGAACAATGTCTGCTGGAATGAGCACAGGCCAGGAGACTGTGTGTAACACAGAGCGTTTACTGCAGGGGAACATGGTCATGGAGCTGGGCAGAGCCCAGCATTCCTCTGGAGGTAAATTGGCAGGCAGTTCAGCTGATGTCAGCGCCTCAGAGAATTCTCCCACCATCCAGAGCAGTGTGCGTGAAGCAGGGGAAAGTACGATGGGAAGATTTGAGAACTCTAATATTAGCACAGCTGAAGCCACGAACATACAAGTCATCAGTGAGCCTGTGGATAAAGCCAGTGTTCAAAGCTGTGCCTCTGCCACCAGTGCCCTGGGAGGCAACAAACCTAATAATTCATCATTTGAATTAAGTTTTGGAGAAATCCCTGGTGAAAAAACAGCAGAAACAGAAACTTTGAGAAGTTGTGAGGAACGTGCTGAAACTCTCAGAGATCAGGTAATTCCAGCTGCTGTAAAAGACAAGATTTCAGATGGATTAATACTGGATGTTCCTCTAGCAGGCTTTTGTGAGGCAGTATCACTCTCTGAGTTAACCTTTTCTGAACTAGAAAAAAATGTACTGCCAAACCAGAAATCAGAAAAGAACTCATCTCCTATTGAAAGCCAAAACAACAAATCACTGGTTTGTTCTGTAACTGGAGATGATAAACTTTGTGCTGACTCTGCATGTCAACAGAACACAGTGACTTCTAGTGGTGAGTTGGTTGCAGAACATTGCAGTGACATAGTTGACCAGCCTGGAATCACCACAGCAGGGAAGCCCAACATACAAGACCTGCCCTCTGCTGTCTGCCAGGAGGACACACAAGTAAATACAGTCCTTTCTTACCCTTTAAGAGATATCCAAGAACATGTGTATTTTTGTCGTCTTGAAGCTTTGGATAAAAAGGGCCAAGGAAAAGATCTGAAACTAGATACACCTTTAACAACAGTGCTTGAGGCAGCTGTACATCTGCATCCACTTGTCCCTAAAACTGAAAAAGAATTGAGGGCAAACCAGGCAGTACCATCAGGCAACACTTTCTCTCTGGCAGGCAGTCCAGGCAGTGAATCAGTAACCAAAGATGACGCACTTTCTCTTATCCCCTCCCACAAAGAAAAGGGAACAGCAACCCCGGAACTACATAGGCCTGCAGTGTGTAGAGGTGGCTCAGCTGGAGGAGATTCGGATCATCATGATAAACAGCTTCCAGAAGACAGCACTGTAGGTCTGTCCATATCCTCTGCTGCTACAGATCTTCAGCCCAACATGGGGAATACCAGTCCTGGAAGACTAGCTGGGGAGCGCGAGAGCCCTGGCTCCTCAGCACCCTCTGAAGTTCTGACTGACTGTTCCCTGCTAAGTACGGATAAGGCCTCTTTGGCCTCTGACTCAGTTTTGACAGAAGAAGGAAAAAATCTGGCAGTTCCCAAAAGCTCTGCAACTCAGGAACAAGATGACAAGGAGAAATCAGTGACTTACTCCTCCATTAAGGAAGACATACTTCTTTCAGGAATTTTGGTGGAAGTGCAGAGAAAACCATCTCCTGGACAAGAGGCACCAATATTCTGTGAAAAGACTGTTTCAGCTATTTGTACAGAGGACAGAGCACTTCAGCACAGTAATTCACTGGTCACACCCTCTGCCTGTCTTAAGGCAGAAACTGATCATAACAAGGAAGTGGCCCCAGAGGTCTCTGTGCTGACAGAAGATGGGGCCACACAGATCCTGGTACCACCAGGAGCAAGTCTGGCTGAAAACTTCAGCCAGGCAGCCTTGAGTGCAGAGCAGAACAGCTTACCTCTCTTGCCACCTGTGTTGCCAGATGTGTCTGAGGGACTTAACAGTGGTCAGCCTTTTGTTCTGGATGTTGAAGTAAAGGACACTGAATCCCAGAGGAAAACCACTGCCTGTGAAGTGAGTGAAAATGTGGCGCTGGATATTCCAGAGGTAAATTCCCTACAAAGCCCTGCTGGCCCCAGAAAAAAGGATATACCACACAACACCCAAGACATCTCAATTTCAGAAATTTTGTTGAACCAGGAGAAGGATATAATAACCCTGATTCTGCCAAGAGCTTTATCAGACAAAGGTGTGAGTGACCCACAGGGAGCTACAACCCCAGCAACAGTACCTCTTGATTGCAAGAAAGAGAATCTAGAGGGAGCAGACCACAACTTTATCACAGGTGACTCTGAGGAGGTACAAAAGGATGATGAAGCACTGGAGCCTCTTGCCATGGTGCTCCCCAGAGAGACAGGGCTCTCAACTTTTGATGACAAGACCTCAGCTAGTAGGAGGGAAGTCACACAGGCGTCAGCCTCAGACATATCAAGGAGTGCTTCCTCTCTGCCTTGTGTGGTCTCGGCCCAAGCTACGCATGTGCAGGGAGCAGACTTAGAGGAGGCTGCTAGTCGTATAGTGAAAGCTGTCATTGAACAAGTCAAGAGCTCGGGAGCACTGATTACTGATGGAGAAATCAGTCACATATCACTGTCCAGTACTGAGTCAGGCCCTGTGACTGAAATACCAGAGAAGGCTTCTACAGAGGAAATATGTGCTTTCCTGCCTGGGAAGACCCTGCAAAAGGATAGTATTTGTGAAGAAGCCACAGGGAGCCTCACAGGAGGCTTTGTTGGAAGGGTGGAGCCAGAGAAGATCATTCTGCCTGTTCAGGGGCTGGAGCCAGCAACAGGTAAGCAAAGCAAAATACAAAATTAATAGTTTCAGAATCAGGTTCCTTTCTGAGTCTCTCTGGTGTGCTAGTAAAAATATGGTCATCTTTGTTATTTTAAGGTCTTGCTTAAAATAGGCTGGCAAGTTAATAATCACCACCATCAGGAGATGCACGTCATCTTAGGGCTGGGAAGATTTTGCTTCCTGTTCTGTAGACTCATAGCTTTATTACTTAAATCTGTAAATGCCCTGTCTGTCACACAGTCACAATTGTAACTTTCCAAACCTAGAAAACAGGGCTTAAATCACAGATGCCTTAAAAAGATAAGGGAATTTAGCAGATGCTTTTATTCACATGACCTGCTCCTTTTCTTTAGAACTATAAAATAGTAGTGCTGCAAAGGATGTGTTTTATTTACAAGTTTGAAACTCCCTTTCTTCCTTTCATCCTAGTCTGAATTTTGAGCATATTTATAGTGATGTAATTATCATTTTGAGCTGATGGCCCAGCATCCAAAATGGTTGCATTAAGTCATTGGTTTGCAGGAGAGCAGTTCCCTCCTTTTCTTCCCAAGGAGCAACCTCCAGTTCCATTGCCTGTTTCTTTTGGACAAAGTCTGGGAATTCAGGACTGCACAGCGCAGGGGATAGGATGCAGGATTTCCGCCCAAGCCCAGCCTGCTGAGCTGCTGTCATTGGGCAGACCTTGTGTCTGCTTATCTTGGTGAAGCAGCTGCATCAAGCAGATTGCTCACACAGCAGCCTGTTCCATGTATGGGTTACCATGTCCAGAGACAGCAAAAAGAAACCACTCTTGCTCAGGGGAAATAAACTGTCTGAAATAAAACTTCTTATTGTGAGTTGAGACTGAAGCTGAAACTGGAGTCGGTCTTGGACTTGACTTCTGAAGTCTTTAAAGGTCAGTTGGATGCATATTTTTATACCAGTACCTGCTCCCAGCTATAGACACAGGACCTGTCCATATGCCTGCTCCTGTGCTTTTGTAGGTAAGAGCTAACCTGTTTGTCTTTATTGTTTGATTATTTTTGCTGTTCTTTTTAATTGTTGATAATCCTTTTAAGTATAGAACTTGTTAGGGCTGTGGGGGTGGGGTATAAAAAGAAAAGAATAAAAAAAGTGGTTTAGGAAGAACAGTTTAAACACAATTTATTTTTCCCTTTTAGGACTTTTAACAATGTTTGGTCTCCTTCTCTCCCATGAGGGATTTAAGGAACCTAGGTAGAATTCTTGATGATTTCAGGCTTTTAGATTTGTAGCAGTAGAAATGTGTTGGTTGCTGTCTCTGAATTTAAATGAGTATGTCTCTAATTTTTTAAAATAAGGCACAACAACAAGTCTATTTTGGGGACCCCTAGCAGGTTGGCATTTCAGAAAAATGGGAGTGGCTGTAACTTGATACCTGGCTATGTTCTTTTTATTTGGGTTCTCTGTCCTTGCCACATGGGCCAGAATTATTTCTCCTTTTGGCTGTAGTCAGAGTTTAGCCCAAGGTACTGTAAACTGTATGACATTTTCTGTGAGAAAAGGTAAAAACAGGGACAATTTCAGATTTAGATTTTTAATAGCTCATAATAGTAAAGATATTAAGAAATGATTTTTAAGGCTTTAAAGCTTTACAGAAAGAAGTCTACCAAATTTCAACAGTGTATATGGATTTGGGGTTAGTTTTGTGTAGGTGAGTTAGTTTCCCTTCTATCAAGAGGAGTCACAGTAGGGTCAGTGGTCATGGTCTCAAACTATTGAGAAAAGTAACCAATGATGAAGAAACCCAGGCTTTCTTCAGAAAATAGGGGTGGGAAAGTCCATGGTCACACTGCCCTAGAGAAAAAGCACCCACATGTGATATGAGAGCCAAAGGGTATTTTCTATGAAGTTTACATTCTATTCATGGATTCAACTATGTTTTTTATGATCATGGAGCATAATTTGGAAGGAGTCAGTTAGAAAAGGATGTCGTCCTTCACCCATTGAAGCACCAATCTCAGTGCTTAGAAAGCTGGTGGTGCCTCCAGAGAGAGCCATGCCAGTTTTTCAGTTGTCAGCACCCCTTATGTCTTAGTATTATTCACTGTTTACCATTGTGAATGGTTGCTGTTGCCAAGATACATACTTTCTGTTGACAGATACAGGAAAGTAATTTTGTGCCCAAAATCACATCCCTAAGTGAATAAAATAAAAACACCTTCCCCCATTATTCTAAGGAATGTTCTGTTCAAGGTATACTTATAAATAGTATACCTTTTTGCTCAGTCAAAAAAATTTTTTTAAACGTTAGTTGCATTTTATGAAGTTTAACAAAATTTTATTGTCTTGGCAAAGAAACCTATCTATCCATTTTTTGTTTGTTTTTTTTTTTGGTTTTTGGTTTTTTTGTGGTTGTTGTTTTGGTACCGGGGATCGAACTCGGATCCTTGTGCTTGTGAGCCAGGCGGCGGAACCACTGAGCTAAATCCCTGGCTCTGTCCATTTTTTTACTTGCTAGTAAGAATATATAATTATAAGGTCAAAGAAAGGAGACTTATAAAGTTCATTTATGTATTGTAACTTTCCCAAATCAAAGGAGACCTTTTGAATATGTGCTATTAGAATAATAACTTAATGTAATTTTCCCCCCCAAAAGAAACTTCTTGGGTATAGGGAACATTTTTATTTGTCAGAGTAGTGGCATCACTAGATGAAGAACCACCAAAAAAATGTTTTCACATCAAAATGATATGACAGTTCCATTTGTATTTGGATATTGAGATGAATTTTGACTGTTCAGTTACCTGTCACTTTTTTAAAAGGTATCAGTAGTGGGCTGGGGATTTAGCTCAGTGATTCTGCCGCCTACCTTGCAAGTGCAAGTTCCTAAGTTCAATCCCTGGTACCAAAAAAAAAAAAAAAAAAAAAAAGTATCAGTACCTTAAATTTTTCTTGAAAAAATTTTCATCATTTCCTTCCTATATTTGATTAACCATATGGTGACCAGGTAACAAAGACTACTGCTGTTTGGTCTACATAGAAGCACAGCCAGCAAGGGGACAACTGTATGATTCTAGAGCAAATATGTGTAAAACTTATTTTTCTGAAGAAAAGGAATTGCTGGATTTTGATTGTTTTTATTTTAGAAGATGTAAAAGTTCAAGTAAATTCAAGGATAGTTTAGCCTTGTTGTGGCAGTGGGTAGATCAGGATGTGTGTTATATTATGAGAGAAAAATTTGTCCCGGAGGCTCTATCTCATTTCAGAGTAGCTCTTTCCTCTTGTACAAATCTCTCTGACCTTATTGATGGTGGCCAAGATGGACTACCTAGTTTCAGGTGTTAACCTGTTTCCTACAGCTTAGGAATTCATTTTTCACATGTAGGTCAGCCCTGTACTCATAGATTTGTCATGAAGTCAGTGAGAGTGGACATTCAGTAGACATTGAATTGGTTGTCTGAAGCTCCAAACACATGCAGAGGGGTAGAGAAAACTACACAACCGGGTGATAGAGGAGGGAAGCTCACTTTGGGGCCAGAAATTAAACCAGTGCTCAACAGCAGAATACTTTTCCATTTAAGGCAAAAACAAACACATGAAACCTGGAGCTTATTGTGTAAATAGTTACAAGAATCAATTTTTTTCAAATGCCTCACTCTGTGATCCCTCCTACCCCCCCATCTTGTTTTTTTCAGAAATGCCAGACACAAAAGCTGATGATGAAATGGATTTTCTGAGTAAGACCAGATCAAGTTCAAACTTTGACCAGGTGGCTGTAGGGAATGGAGCTACTACCCCTAAGATGAAACAAGGCCCAAAAACCCAGCCCGTAAGTGATATCAAGAAGGCTGTATGGGCATAGAAAGTGTTTAGCTTTATCTGTTACATTTGATTTATGGACTAGGTTTTTGTTATAGTGTGGGGAGATAATAGTATTTTACCTTCTGTTTTGTTCTATTACAGAACTGTGGGTGTGTGATTAAAACTTTCATAGATGCATAGTGTGTACCACACAGCAAAGGTTTGGAATGGGCTCCCCTACATGAATCTCTTGGAGATTACAATGAAATAATATTTTTCCTTATGAATGTAAGACATTGAAATTTATCATCCCCACACTTGAAGTACTGTAATACAATCACTGCAAAAGGGGATTTGTTAACCCTTCTTAAACATGACTCTTCTTTCTTTATATAGAAACTGATCACAGCAAAAATGAGGTTTTTACCTTATAGCTCTGTAGTAGCCATCTAAAATATAAAGTTTTGGATGTCATTTTTAGTGAAGAAATACAATTTCAAGTTTTAGTCATAACACCTTTATTGGGGATATAATTCACATACTGTAAAATTCAACTGAAGTGCACCCATTCAAATAAAGTACACACTTCAGTACTTTTTAATCTATTCACAGACTTTTACAGCTACCACCACTATTCTTCTAACACGACAGTATTACAGTCAGCCTATAAAGAAACCCTATGTCCACTGGCAGTCTACCTCTGCCCAGTGTTTCCTCCTCCAAACTCTTAGCAGTCACTCGTGGACCCTCTCTTTCAATAGATTTGCCCATTCTGGAACTTCATATAAATATAATTACACAATATGTGGTCCTTTTATGACTCATTTTCGTTCACTTAGTGTAGTATTCTCAAGGTTTCATCCATGTTGCAGAGTTGATCATTATTTCATTTCTTTTAATTGCCATATTGTTCATTGTATGCATGTACTACATTTTTTTGTATATTTGCATTGTTTTCACTTCTTGGTAGTTGTAATAATGCTATGAACATTTGTGTCCAAGTTTACGTGGACATATGTTTTCATGTACATACTGGTGAAATTACTGGCTTATATGCAGCTAATTATGTCTTAATACTTAATAGGTTTAAACAAATTTTTCTTTTAAGTCTTGATTATTTTTCAAGAAGCCGTTAAACTTTAAGTTGGAAGTTTGAAACCATTAAGTTTTTTCTTTTGTTATCTTTTCCCTTCTTTTGGTGCTGGGGATCAAACTCAGGACATTGAGCTTGCGAGGCAGGTAGCAAATCCACTGGGCTTAAATCCCCAGCCCTGAAACCATCAAGTTTTAAAACAAGGGAACTTAAACTTATTGCAGTACACAATGCTTTAGATTTCATCCTGGTCAAAGAATAACTTTCAGAAAACTGAAAATCAAGGTGGTGGATTCATACTGCCTGTTGAACATACACACTGTCCAGCTAGACTTGACAGTTACACCATTTTTGCTTTTCAGAGGAGTGCATGGTATTTTTTTCTTAAAGTTACCCTGGTAGGTATAAAGAACAGTACTGTCTCAAGCTTTCAAGTGTATGAACTGATAAACAAGCCGCATTTTGTCGGAGTATAGTGGTATGAAGGTTCTGAATGTTCTGACTTTGTTACAGATAATATTCATGACTAATGCCTGAGTGACTACTTGGATAGCAGATATTTCTCAAATAAATATTGCTTTTGCCTCTGGGTTAAGAAAAGAGAGCACAACCCATATGGGTGGATATGTCTTTGTTTCAGAAGCCCCTTAAAGGAAGGAACAAACTCACATCCTTGAATTCAAATGGTTCTTACTTAGTTCTCTGGTTTTTTTACAATTTGATCTTATTGGTATATTTTAGATGATAGCATTCATCATATGGATTTTTGTACTAGTACATGATATATCTTGGTTCTTCTTTTTCCTTTCCCTCTCCTCCCTTCAACCCCTTACTTACAAAGCTTTGTTTCCATTTTTCCCTTCTATTCTCCCTCCCCCGTTCCCCTTCCCATTTGAACATTTTATTCCTAATTCCCAGTATCTCTATCTCTTACACAGTTTGGTTCTTATTTATACTTTTGATTTCTCACACCAGATAAACCATGCAATATTTGAATATGTGTATCTGATTTATTTCAGTTACAAGTATAGTCTCAAGGTGCATCCATTTACCTAGAACTGTCTCAAGTTTATCTTTCTTCATGGCAGAATGGTACTCCATTGCATAAATAAGACCCACATCTTTATCCATTCATCCATTGATGGGCATTTGGGCTGTTTTCAAGATTTAGGTATTACATACTGTGATACCATAAACATGAGTGTACATATGTCACTGTGGTGTGATGCTTTTAATTCTTTTGGGAAAATACCAAGATAGGGAATATCTGGGTCAAATGGAACCTCTCATTTTAGTTTTTTGAGAAATCTCCACACTGATTTCCATAGTGGTTGCACCAGACTACACTCCCACCAACAGTAGAAAAGGGTTCCTTTTTCCCTACAGCACCTCCAGCATTTGTTATTGGTTGATTTCTTTTTGGGGTACTGGGTAATCAAACTCAGGACCTTGCACTTTTGAGGCAGGTGGCAGCACCACTGAGCTAAATCCTCAGCCCATTGGTTGATCTTCGTGATAGCAGCCATTCTGTCTGGAGATGGAATCTCTGTGTTGTTTTAATGTGCGCTTCATGAATGACCAGCAGTGTTAAACATTTTTTTATATGTTTATTTGCCATTTCTGTTTCTTTATCTGAGAGGTGTCTATTCATTTGAGATGCCCATTTTTTGGATTGGGTCTTTAAATTTGAGGGGTCTGACATTTTTGTGTTCTTTATATATTTTAGATATTAGTCCTTTATCTGGGGAACAGCTGGGAAAAATTTTTTTCCCACTCTGTGGGTTGTCTCTTCACTCGGTGGATTCTTTTGCTGTACAAAAGCTTTTTAGTAAGATGATACCCCAGTTTTTGATTCTTTGTGATATTTCTTTTGCAATTGGAGTTTTGCTCATAAAGTCTTTTATACACCAGTGTCTTCAAGAGTTCTACCTATTTTATCTTTCCACAGATTTATTGTTTCTTTTTTAATATCTTCATCTTGATTTCATAGTGATTAGTGTCACTGAATCCCATTTCATAATTATTTCTGAATCCATTGCTTTCTGGTGAGGAATATTTCTGTTCTAATTTTACCTTGTCTACTATAAAGAAGAAAGCAAAACTTTTTGTTAAAGTTTGTTTTCTCCCAATCCCTTCCTCTTCCTATTTTTCCTTTAGTTTTAGGAATCGATATAGTTACTGCTCCTCTGATTGGTCAGCATGCCTCATTTCCAGTTAAAAGAATAGTTCTGGGAGAGTCATATGAATAGCTCAAGATCAGACCCAGCTGAAAAGAGCGTTTGAGGTTTGGCTTGTAACCTAGAACTTAAATTGAATGGCATATTTCTTACCGACTTTACCTTGGCCTCTCTGATTGGTAAGAGATTTTAAGGAGTGTCAGAATTCTGTAATTTGTTTCTTGCTGGGGGAATCTCTGTGCCTGTGCTTTATTTCTGCATCCACCTGATATAGCTGAAGAGAGGGTATGTCAATAGGATTTACAGGGAGAAATGTCTTTTGTTTGCTTAGTTGTTGCTTTTGGAGTGCCGATACTGGAAATTGAATCCAGCCCCAAGCTACATTTTAAGCTTTATTTATTTATACATTTATTTTTTTATTTTTAAATTTTAAGGTAGGATCTTGGTAAGTTGTCCATTGTATGCTTGAACTTTCCTCCTCTCTAGGGCTGGGATTATAGGGGTGTGCCACCATATCTGCCTCAGATTCTTTTGTTCATTTTTTTTTTTTTTTTTACTCAGTGATTTAGTATATCTCAAGTGCTTAGGACAGAATATGAGTACAGTTGCATTATTATTTTTATGTTTACATTATTATTTTATATTTACAGTTAGCATTATTATTTTTATTTAGTTTTGTAACTTCAATCCCAGGATCCTATTCACTTAAGTAATTAGTAAAGTGTGATGATGATTCAAGACTCATTTACTGCTTTTTTAACATATGTGATAAAAGCTTCAGAAATAGCATTACTCAATAATTTGAGGGACATTGAGCTTGTTTTTATTTCTGAAACCTTTAAACGTTTGAAGAAACCTTGCAGATTATCTAAATCCAATACTTCCGCTTCATGAGAAATAGTTTCAGAATGGTTGAATGCTTTGGCTTGTTTCATAGCTAGTTAACTGTCAACTGAACTAGAACCCAGTTCTGTACTAATAGTAATATTTCATTTATACTGCTGTTTACTGTGGAGTCATCTTGGTGGTATACTTGGAACATCTAATTGATTTGGTTTAGGATGGATCCTTGCTTTTTAGACACATATCCCTGAATGATGTACTGTGTATCAAAGGATCCCCCCCCCCGTAGTACTAGAGTTTGTACTAAGGTCCTTTGCACTAAGCTATATCTCCATCTTTAAAATTTTTATTTAGAGATAGGGTCTCACTTAATTTGTTAAATTGCCCAACTGGGTTTGAACTTGTGATCCTCTTGCCTCAACTTCCCAGAGTGGTGAGGTTATAGGCAGCATACTAAAATTGTAAATCCATTATATTCCCATGCTTTTATAGTAATAGTTGGAGACATTTCTTTGGCTATTTCAGGATCCAAGCCAATTCATTTAAAAATAAGTCTCGTGTTCTGATTGTTTATTCTATTTAGCTACAGCTAAATACCAACAAGATTGCTTTTTGTACACAAATTGTAAGATTTTCTAGACCTGCTAGAATTCCCTAAAGAATGGTATGGAAAAAGTACAGAACTGGGTGCTGAAAAAGTATCAGAAGATAATGTAGAATTGTAAGCCTATAAAGAAAGCCTCTGGGACCATTCACCCTGAAAGTATGTTCCACTATGGGCTAGAAATGATTTCAGATTCTTGCTTTCCTGCCTTAATGCTATAAACCAAAATTTCCATGTGTTATAGAGATCTCTCTCTTTGCAGAATGTAGCCAAATTCATTAGGAAGGAGCCTGCCCCTATGGGATATCTGT